ATGGTCTTTCTGTGGGTCCAAAATTACACTCCTCTAAATCCAATTTCAGGTATCAAAGCCTAATTGACTTGTGAAGGATTAGAAAAAATAAAAAAAAATTCAACAGATGAAGGTTCTGAAAAAAGACAGGAAAAGTGAGAGGAGATTAAGTTATGTTGATCATTTAAAAACTTTCTTAAAGTTCTTAATCAAAGAGCTTTTCTTCTTTCAAATCTACCACTCAAATATAATGTAAGTGAAGAAAAGACATACAAAAGCTAAATTAGATAATACACAAGTGGAATGTTATAAATAATAATAATATACACAAGGGAAATGAAAATGCACAAGTATTTTTATATTAGTTTACAACAAACATGTTTTTACATCTAGTCGCCTTCATATTGTAGTCAATGACTTAATTTACTAAAAGAAAATATCGTTTAATCTGTCTCTCCAAACTACAACTATATTCTCTCTCCCATCATCTTCATCGATATATTGAGTATAATATTTTAAAAATTGAGTTGATTATTAAATTAGTGAGAGCATTAATTTATTAGTTCATTAGTCAAACTACGTGATCATTGGTCGAATTGCATAACTAAACCAAATTAAACTAAATAATTCAGTAGAATAAATTGATATCTATAACAAAACTATAAACTTATTAAATATGTCGAATCGGATATTAGATCTCTAAAAAATATCAAAACACCTACAAAATTTAAAAAAATCATAATTTTACATATTGATTATTTAAATTCAAATTCTAAATATAATCAACACAAATAAAATAATAGAAAATATTAATTTAAATAAATTTTGAACCAATTAAATAATTTTTGAATAAAGTCTAATTATATACTTTTTAAAAAAAATTATCAAAACGGCATCGTTTAATTCAAGAAAAAAAACATATATTTAAACCGTCAATTTTTCAAAACTGTCGATTCATCGATTTTTACTGATTTTGAACGGTTTTCACTAATTCAACAGCATATCCGGTCCAACAATCACACCAGATCGATGATTCTTCCCATTCTCAATTCGATTGACTCTTCCTATTCTCAATTCGATTGGTCAATTCAATTCAGTTTTTAAAACACCAAGTGTCATTAACTCTGTCTCCATACAACAATGTATTTATCATTAATCAAAATTAGATTGTTTGATGTTTCATTCCACCCAATTCAACATTGCCACCACCGTCATTTTGTACAACATTATTAACAACATCACCAACTTCCACATCATTGTTAACAAATAACATCATCTTACTCAATATTAATTTCAATTTGCACATTTTTTTAATTATAATATTCAGTTATCCATTTATCATCTAAATGAATATGAAAAACCACAACCACTAAATGAAATATTAAATCACGATAACTTATTAAGAATGGTTGAAAATCTCTAAATGGGCAGTTCTTTCTTTAAGAATGGATAAATCAAAAGTCTTTACCCTCTCAAAGGAAGAAGAAGGGGTAATCGCTGATGAAGAATAAATTATTAAAGATGAATCTATGCAGAGAACACTTGCGGGTAAACTGTGGACTGAAAGCAGTTTTAACACCAGAGCTTTCAAGAACACAATGCTGAATGCTTGGAAGCTGAAACACCATGTGGAAGTTCAAGACCTGAATAAAAACCTTTTTCTTTTTAAGTTCGGCTCAAAGAGAGATATGGAATATGTTCTTAAATCTGGTCTATGGAGTTTTGATAGAGCACTGTTGGTGTTGAATCAGATATCTGGGGAGGAACAACCTTCATATTTAAACATGCACTCAAGTTCCTTCAGGGTAAGAATTTACGACTTGTCTCTTATGCTCAAATCTGAAACAATGGCGAAAAAGCTAGGGAATATCATTGGATTCTTTGAAGAAATGGATGTCAAAGAAGCACACAGAAATGGAAGGTTTTTGCGTATCAAAGTTTCGGTGGATCTGAAGGAACCTTTGAAACATGGGGACGATGGTGACATTCAAAGGGAGAAAGATTAGGGTCCACTTTAAGTATGAAATATTACCGACATTTTGCTTTGTCTGTGGAAGAATGGAACACCAGATTAAAGATTGCGAGGCAATGGAGAATCTAAATGAAGAAGGCTTTGAGGAGTTGGAGGAGAAAGATCTTGCCTTTAGGAAGTGGCTTCGTGCGTCTCCTCTTCCTAAACTGATGGATGATTTAAAAAAGGCAGACTCAAGTTCTAGTTTGTGTAGCAGAGAACTCTTCAACGTCTCATCTAGTCAGAGCCGTTATGAATTAAAAGGGAAAGACAATGGTGAAGATCATGAGGTCCAACAAGGCATCATGAATCCAACTCTTCACAAAGGATGTGATCAGCAAGGAGAGGAATCTAATCCTAAGTTTGTGGACGTGGAATCGGTAGCTGAATCTCTTGGAGCGGTAGCATTGACAACATATAAAGCTCCTCAGAAGGAAATTTATACTATTGGAGGTGTACATAAAAGGAAATGAACTAGAAGGAAGACAACTGAAAGTGTTAAGACTGCTACAAGAATTTCGCCCAAGCCAAAAATAACCAAGCGACAGCTCGTGGATATTATGATTGTTGAAGGTAACTTAGAAGAGTGTGGTGTTGGTGAAAAGAAAAGGAAACAAGTTGGAGATGTAAGTGATGCTCTGAACAATGTACTAGAGGTGGTGTTGGCAGACTAACACCACCTTCCACAATGAAAATAATAAGCTTGAACTGCAGGGGTTTGGGGATCCCCCATGCAGTTTGAAGCCTTGCGAGGCTTCTCAGAACCAAAAAATCATCTACTTGTCTTTTTAATGGAGACAAGGATTAAGAGTGATGAGATGATGAAATTAAAGAGGAGATTCAAATTTAGTGCTGATTTGTGTGTTGACTGTAGGGGTTCGGGAAGAGATGGAGTTAGAGGGTTGTATTTATGGTGGAATGAGGGGACTGAAATCAACATTAACTCATTTTCTCAGAATCATATTGCAGGGAGCTTCCAGCAGGATGATGATGATGATCCTTGGTCCTTTGCTTGTATTTACGGCTTCCCAGAAGAGGCGAGGAAAAAAGAGACTTGGAACCTAATTCAGGCTTTGCGGGAAGAGGGTGGAAATCAAATGATTTTCTTTGGTGATCTTAACAATGTTTTTCTCAATTCAGACAAATATGGTGGTATCAACAGGATAATTTCTCAATTGAATTAGGGAAGAAGTATCATGAATATGATGTCCATGTTCAAGTTTTAGCACAAGATATAACAATCATCTGCTTGTATGTTGATGACTTGCTAGTAACTGGAAATAGTTTGGAGAACTTGTCGAAGTTCAAAGAGCTGATGACGAAGGAATTTGAAATGTCGGATCTAGGAAAATTATCTTATTTTTTAGGCATGGAATTTCAAATGTCGAAGCAAGATATGGTGCTACATCAAAGAAAGTATGTCAAAGAGATACTCAAGAGACTCAGAATGGATGATTTGAATCCTGCATCCTCACCTGTTGAACCAAATGTGAAGTTGGAGAAGAATGGAGAGGAAGACAAAGTCGATGCAACTTTGTTCAAGCAAATTGTGGGATCTCTAAGGTATGTGTGCAACAGTCGATCTAATATAGGTTTCGCAGTCGGGTTAGTAAGCAGATATATGGGTGAACCAAGAGTGTCACATATGAAGGTTGCAAGAAGAATCCTTCGATATTTGAAGGGTTCAATAAATTGTGGAATACTATTTCGACGAGATTCTGAAGGCAAATAAGCAATAGTTAATTGTTTTTCAGATGCTGATTGGTGTGGAGATAAGGAAAATCGAAGAAGCACAACTGGATATTTCTTTCAAGTATTTGGTGCCCCAATCTCATGGTGTTCGAAGAAGAAACCTGCAGTGGCATTGTCATCGTGTGAAGCTGAATATATAGCAAGATCCTATGCTGCATGTCAAACAATTTGGATCAGATCTGTACTTAAAGAAATGACTGTCGAAGTGAAGAAATCTCTAGTATTATAAATCGACAACAAGTTAGCCATAAATCTAACGAAGAATCCAATTCTACATGGAAGAAGTAAACATATTGAAGCAAGGTTTCACTTCTTGAGGGAAAAAGTAAATCAAGGTGAACTTGAAGTTAGGCATTGCTCAAGTGAAGCACAATTGACCGATATTTTCACTAAAGGATTGAAGATCGACAGATTCTTGAATTTGAGAAAGAAATTAGGAATAATTCAGATTGACTATTTTTGAGGATGTTCGATAACTTGGATTATGGGGGTGTGTTGAAATGTTAAATTAGATTAAATTAGATTTGATTTGATTTAATATTTAATATAATCCAAGTTGTGTTAGTCCAAACCCAATTAGGATTTATATAAATGGTCATAGTGTGTATCATTATTTATACACTTGAATAATACAAATTCTTATTTTTCTTTATTATTCTCTCTTTCTCTCTTCACTAAAAGTATATCATGCACTAACAAATATGATATACAACTTATTAAATAAATATGGAACACTAAGAAATCAAATTCTGCATAAAGGAGAAATCAATTCATATCAAAGAACAAAACGAAGAAATTAAAAGAATAATTTGGTTTTTGAGTCTCAAACAAGAAATATGTCATTTTATGTCACAAGTTTGTGATGGGTTGTAATAATTAGGTTGTAATATCTCTTATCCTTTAACTATATATATATATATATATATATATATATATATATATATATATATATATATATATATAAAAGAGATTATAATAAAGAACAATTGTAGCAAATGTAACACATAAAGTTATGATTTTATTAAGGGTTGGAATGGAAGAAAAAACAGAACCATTGATATTCCAACGACAAGATAGTGGGACATGGAATCATATGGATATATGATTCTTATGACAGAGTTTCACTAAAATGCTACATCACTGGCACTACATATATGAAACATCATATAGTTAATACCTAATCCAATGATTCTAAAAATAAAAATAAAAATTACATGAGAATTAGAATCATAAATTGTTTATTGTTGACACCATTTGGTCACTGGAGCTTCATGTTTCTAAACCTGCAAGGGAAAGCAAGAAGCAATTTAGAATGTTAAAATAGTGACTGCTGCGTGTCTAGTGTTGAGTTAGAGTTTATGAGTTAAAACAATGTATATATATTACCTTTTCTGGTCAGCATTGTTGTCGTAATTTGGGAATGGAACTTGACCAGATTCAATGTGCCTAATGTCCCTAAGAAGAAGTTCATAGTGTCTCTTAACATCTTCGGCAGTCTTCCCTCCACCAACAGCTTTAGCAACATTCGACCAACGATCAGCTGTGTCCTTATCAAAAACAGCTAATGCCCTTTCAAATGCTTTGTTTTCCTTACCACTCCATGAACCTGATGCTGACATTGATGCCATTTCTTGAACTACAAACAAAAATTACTCCCAGGTTGAAAACCGACTCTTAAGGTTTCGAAATCGAATGTTGTGGAAGTTAACAAAACTAGTAATGGTTTAGATAGGAAAAAGGTTATTCAAAATGTGGAGGATTTAGTGTAAGCAATAAAACTCAAGGAAGAGGTGATTTTGAAATGTGGAAGCAAAGTTTGGTCCTTTATATAAGAAGAGTTGGAGGTGTTTGTAAGGTGTGTGGGGTAGAGCAAGTTGGAATGAAAATCTTTGGTGAAATGTAAAATTCGTATGATATTCTCAAGAACCACGTTATTAGAGGAGGACCAAAATGTTGAGGAGCGATATTGGAGAATCTTCAACCAGCTAAAAAATGGAAATGAAAAAAATTAACTTTTTCTCCTCCTACTTTTCTTGATATAAATATCATTTGGTTTAATTTTTTTTTCATACTATGTTTTAAGCTTGTGGATTTATGAGCTATAGAACACTTAAAATTGATTTTTTTAAAAAAATACTCAAATGTGATTCTTTACTTGTAGTTATTCTTATTAATAAGTTAAGTCAACATATATCATTGATAGTGTGTATTATTCTTATCATATTATAATTCGGTGAGAATTGTAATGTTTGTGGCAGGATGTTTTTGGATATATTAGGGGAACACTTGGTTCATTGTAGAAAATTTTAGGTTTCATATGTAAAATGACTTTGTTAGAGATGTTGTTATAATTTGCCAGACAAAAGTGTTAATGAAAAATGAGAAATATGTGAATATTTTTATTGATTAACACTTAGATCAATAGATGTTCTAGTGTGCATGCAGATAGGAAAGAAACATGCATGTGTCGATTTGATTGAGATTTTCTTATTTATTGGATGAAAGAAATGAAATTTTATTATAGGACAAACACCTCTCAAAGTCACTTTAAATAAAGTGATTAAACATGAAAAAATATATTTCAATAATCAACATACTTTCATATTTTATTTATTTTTGATAGTTTTAGATTTCTAACACTAGATGTCGTAGATCTTTTACAAAAAATTTAAAAATTCATGCATATTAATGTTGTGACTCGTAGAAAAATGAATGTAGTTTTAACATGATTGATTACGTAAGAAATAACTTAATAATGTTGTTTGTTTATAAATAAAAATCATTATTTTAAATATAAAATAGATCATAATAATTTACAAAATCCATAACAATAATTAAATAATATAATGAAAATAAAAAAATTACATCCAAAATTAAAAATAAAAATATTTTAATACAAATTATTTTTGCTAATATAACAATTATTATTAAATAAAATAAATAATTTAAATTTAAATCACGTGGATGAGAAAATAAAGAAATAAAATTATCTATTGTCATTCTGTTTACGCATTCACACATTTAGAGAATAAACGGCCATTCTATCAAAATGTGATGATTCAAAATATATTGATTTTAATTTTTGTTATAATTTAAATTTTATAATTTAAATCAAAATTATTTGATTTTTATCAATCAAATGTGTGAATGTGCATTAAGGATGTTCGCAGTATAATTTACGCAGATTTGACGCTAAAAGTAATTTAAACGGCAAGAAAAGAAACATGTGGTTTGGTTTTGTTTGATTGACTTTTAAAAGTAAAATTGAACTAAACCAAATCAAATCAATTCGATTTGAATTGATTTAGATAATTTGATTTTTTATAAAAATTTTATTGAGACATACATATTATTATATTTAGTAATCATATATTATTATAAAATAAATTTTTAATTGTCAAAATAAATTTATAATTTAATACTTAAATATAATTGTATCTTTCAATTAATTGTATTCTTAAATAAATTTGAAACGATATTTTATGTAATTATAAACAAATACATGCAAGTAACAATGCTAACATGATAATACTATAATTTATATATTATCAATATTAAACTTTCTTTTAATTTTATTCTTATCAATATCAATAAATTAAATATATATATATATATATATATATATATATATATATATATATATATATATATATATATATATATATATATATATATATATATATATATATATATATATATATATATATATATATATATATATATATATATATATATATATATATATATAAAACAATGTATTTCAAATAAAAATAATAATATTTATAAATAAATAATATTTTTGTTTTTCGTTGATATGTAAATTAAAATAAAGATATTCACGTAATACTTATTGATTTTTTTAAATAATACAGTTTAATTCAGTTTGATTCAATTTACAAAATATAAATTGTAAACTAAATTAAACTGCATAGTTTTTTTAAAAAATATCTTAAATATATTCGAATCGAATGTGAATTTTTACAGTTTTCAATTTAATTTGATTTAATTAGTAGTTTTCTATTAATCGGTTCAGATTCGAACACACTAATATATACTATTAAGGTCATTATTATAAATATTTTTTTTTTAAATTCATTAAATAACAAATATATTTAGTTTTTTTATGTAAATCAGATATATTTATTATTCAATAAATTTAAAAAGAAAATATTTAATTACAATAATGGCAGAAGGAAGAAACTTGATGAAGGCAGAGATCTGCATCCAGGAAAGAACACAGCCAACAAAACCATGTTGTATATAAAACAGTACTAGTAAAAATGTGTGTGGTTGAAATCCCAACAACATTATACACGAGTTGTGAGATAGAGGCATCCCTTATCAAGTAGGTCATCAAAGTCCCTAACTTTAATTTTATTCTTACTTTTGAATGAAGGAGGGTCCAATGTTTCAATCCAGTGAATCCCATTTCAGGATATATCAGAGCCTAACTGACGTATGCACAACACAAGCCACAATATCTTTGTCCATTTGCATATGTAAATAAATCTCTGTGTTCTGTGTGTTTTCACCATTGCAGGTGACGTTTCTAGGATTATTTTTGTTTGTTTGTACTGAACAACATTCCAAAGTTCTAGCTGGCTTCTTCTGTCCGTACAATTATTTGTGTTTGCTACAAGTCATATAAAGAAAGGGTCATATAGAAAATGGTTGTCATCATAACAGTTGTGGCAAGTCGCCTTCCTTGTAATCGTGGATATTTCATATCTAATACAAAAACTATTATGATGTTATTATGTTTCAGTCAACGTAAAAACTACCGGCACGATCTAAGTTACGGTGTTAAATTTTTAATGTTGATGTTATTATGTTTATTGAAAAAAATCCACAAATAACCATGTTTTAGAGAAAACTATGGAAATAATATATTTCAGAAAATCTCATAATGAAGGAGTCAACTGAGTTAACTCATACATCTAAAATTAAAGAGGAGGCGTCAAGTGAGATGACGCTTAGGTGCAAAATATTTGCCCTAAACCATCTTAGATGGTGCCTAGGTGCAATTGATGTACAAATTTTTTTACTTTCTATTTTAAATGTGAGACAATAGGTAAATGATATAGCTTCACGAAACTTCGAATTTTCATTAACAAAAAACGATTACATAATGAAAAAAAACATACAAGTTAATTAGTGGTCCCCCGGAACTCGGTAATGACCAGTGTTTCCGCATCTGCATCCTCGCCTATCTCGTGGTGGGTTTCGTTGAATTTCCCGCTGTGGTTGGATCGATGACCCAGCGAAGTCAATGCGTTCAGGATCCTCACCATATCTGGAAAATCAGCTTTGATACAGTCGGTTACTCATGCCCTCAAAGTTTGGTCGTATTGGTGGAGGATGAGGTTCCATGGATGATCTATAACATTGGTCGTCTGAGTAAGGGGGTAAAAAGTAAACGAATCTTGGGGTGTTTGGTATTGCGACTGTTGGGTGCTATGGTGATGTGGTGGTTGATGGTAAGTTGGGCCGATTGGGTCATATTCTTCGGGAAATCCCAGATCAGGGCTAAGGTTAGATGATGAGGGTCCACATTGGGATATGGAGAAGACTGAAATTCTGTGTGGGGCATGTGAGTGTATTGGTATTGCGATTGAGATTGGGGTTGGGTGTGGGACATATGAGGGTATTGGTATTGAGGTGGTGATTGTGGTTGGGTGTGAGACATATAAGTGTATTTGTATTGAGGTGGTGATTGTGGTTGGATGGTGGTGGATCTGTATCGTCGGGGTGGTTGGTGGGAGGTTGATGTGTGTTGAGTTTGTTTTGGTGGATTTGAGGTTTGTGTCCATTGTATTCGTGGGTCAACCAAATACCTCGGATGAGAAACGTGCATTTCTGGGTTACTAACCGATCTGTACCAAGCAAAATATTGATCCGTGTGTCGCATATTATTCTGGTTGAGGAAAACAGGGTATTGCAAGACATGTTGGTGACGCCTATGCCACATCTTACACCATTATGCAAAGTTTAATTTTCATTATCTCAATTTCGAACGGAATTGGGGGCAGACGTACCTATAGTGAGGCCGATTGGGGAACTTCCTAAACAAATCTTTGTGTCTCTCTTTCTCTCTTATTCTCTATTTTACATTTAATATCAAATTGTGAAAACTTCGATTGTGAAATTGATACATTGAGATAAACTTGTTGTTTAATTTTACAAACTGTTTTATTGAGTTGATTACAATCTTTGTGATTGTAATTGGATTTATATATCAACAAAATTATAGAAAAATCTATTTTGTGTCGATTGCAAGTCAAGTGTTTGAAAAATTGCCTCAACTAGTTTGTGTTTAATATTTCATTGGAAATTGATTGCTATAGTGTGGTTTATTCAAACTTGGTTTACTGGACATATATTGGTTATTTTTCTCATCATATGTAAACTCGTTTTATCGGTTAACACATATTCATTTTTTTTATAACAGTTCGAATAAACGATTTTCGATCTTGGTTAGTTTTCGTGCGCCATAGTTTAAACTTTTTAAAACAAAACTTTCATTTGAAAATTTCATTTGCAATTTATTCAACCCCTTCTAGTTTGTAGCATATCGTCTAACAAGTGGTATCAGAGCACCCGTTTATCTTGTGCTTCAAAATCGCTTATT